GGAAGAGGCTTTGGGATCCCCCCTGGTAACTATCTCCCCCAGGACACAAAGGGCCGCGCATCGCAGGAGAATAAAGTCTCACACCCGGGCGGGCAGTCAGGCTGCCCCCACGCGGCCCCGTCTTTTTAATCCGCTCCTTCACACGCGGTAACCCTTGCTCAGGTTTGGTGCCCACTGGAATATCTGCGGGGGCTGGGCTGCAGGGGGGGGGCGAGGGCCGAGAATCTCCCGCACTCTCCCTGGGTCCCCCCGTTCCCGGACTCACAGCACCGTTTCTGGGACACAAGCGAAACAGCCTGGGAGCTGCAGGGCGCTTCTCCCAGGGGAGAGTCTCTGACACTCCTCAGGGTTGGGGGGTTTCCTGTGTGCCCCGGGAGTTACATCTCCCTGATGTCCCCCGCAGACACTCCGTTTCCTTTCACTCCCTGCACTCAGCGCACCGGGTCCGTGCCCCGCCCTCCCACGGATCTGTGCCCACCCCGCCCCCCCAGCAGCCGACTTTACCCCTCTGGGCCCGAGGACAGGAGGTTTTTGTCTCAGCTCACACCGGCTTCCCCTCACTGTGTGTCTCTAGCAGCGCAGTGATACCGGGCCGTGTCCTCCAGTCTCAGGCGGCTCATTGCCAGGTACAGCTCGCTCTTGGCGTTGTCTCTGGAGATGGTGAATCGCCCTTGAACCCGAGGCGCGTAATTTATGCCAGTCCCGTCGTAGTAAATGCGTGAGACAAACTCCGGGCTTTCCCCGGGACTCTGCCGGTACCAGAACATATCGGAGCTGCTGAAGGTGAAGCCGGTGCATTTACAGGAGAGCCGGATGGACTCCCCTTCATTTCTAACAGCCCCCCCGTACTCCACCAGCTGCATCTGGGACTGGGCACCTGAGGGAGAAAACACATTAATGATCATAATGATAATTGTTCTTACCTAATGACTCTCACTAGGGTGATAAGGGGTATCTAAACCACAGAAATAGACAGAGAGAGAAGTTGCCAGCTAATACAGTGGAGGAAAGCATAGATGGAGAGAGAATGCAGTAAAGGGACAATGGATGGATGAATAGCCAGTGGAGGATTAGATACATAGAAAGAGATGAGATAGTGCTGAGAATGGAATTATGTATAGATAAGACTGGAAGAAAGAAAGAAAGAAAGAAAGAAAGAAAGAAAGAAAGAAAGAAAGAAAGAAAGAAACGAAGGATATACAGACCCCTGCAACTAAAACACATACTCTGAATGTTCCCTGTATTTTTAAACATTTTCTCACCTTTCCAAGCTGCTAAAATAAACACAAACTGTACCCACACTGGCATTGCTCGCTGAGCTGCAGGGTAACTTCTCCCTGTCAGGGTAAGGAGGGTTTAGCCCTTAACTGCACAAACACAACACTCGGCCGCTTCTGCCTATTGCAGCTTCCCAGTCGCTGCTGCCGGGTTTGGAAGGGAAACGAAGCCACCCCCCTTCCCACGCCACACCCTGCCCCTAAAGAGAGGCGGAGACTCCGGTCTGATGGGTGTCAGGGCGCCCCCAGAACAGGCCGAGTTAGACGCTAAAGGTCCTTTTTTTTTAAATCTCAGATCTGCGTAGGGTTTCATGCAGCGGAAGCCTAAACCATAAGGACTGAGATCCCAGTAATTGGCTGGATTTCACCCTGAATACGGACATTGGACTATAACCTGTGGACTATTTCCAAAAGAACTTTGCAAATACAAGCTCACCATCTCTGCTACATATCTGAACCTCAAGAATTGAATTAATGTCTGTATGTATAGTGATCTTTGGACCAACACACGGAGCGCCGGGGGAGGGCGGCGAGCCCGGCCGGGGCTCCTCTCCCCAGCGGCTGGAGCCGGAGGGCCGCACTGCCCCCCTCCAAGTGCCGCCCCAAGCACAAGCTTGATGGGGTGGTGCCTGAAGCCGGCCCTGGCGGACAGAGACAAGCTCAGGAGCTACATAGAGCTCTTCTTGGGGTCTCTTTCCTGCTGTGTGTCTCAGGCAGGAGTTCACACTGCCCTGTCACTAGGCAGAGTTGCTGTATCCCTGTTGGTCCCGGGATATTGGAGATCCAAGGTGGGTGAAGGGATATCTTCTAGCGGATCTCTCGCTCACCAGCAGAAGTCGGTCCGGTAAAAGAGATGGCCTCCCCCACCTTGTCCCTCGCAGAGGGGGGCTGAGAGAAGGGGACAAGCCAGGCGGGGCGGGGCATAGGGGTTCCCCCCTTTCTGTCCGAGGGCTCCCTGTCTCTGTGTCTCTGTGTCTCTCCGGGCGGAGTAATAGGTGGCGGTGTCCGCACCTGTCAGCGAGCGGAGCCGCAGGGAGAACTGGTTCTTGGAGGAATCGGCGGAGAGGGTTATTCGGCCTTGGAGAGACGGGGCGTAGTCTACGCGCCACTGCGAGTTGTACCAGTCAATCTCTCCCAGCCAGTCCAGCCCTCCCCGGGGGAGCTGCCGGTACCAATCCCAGTAATCAGCAGTGACGGAGCCACCCGAGACCGCGCAGGTGAGTGTGAGGGGCTCGGAGACCTGCCCCAGCCCAGGGCCGGACCCCGCCAGCTTCACCTGGGAACGGGCACCTGGAAACATGAATAAATGAATAAACCAATGGGCCCAGCGAGCAAAGAGTCTCCCGCACTCGCCCTATATCCCCCCCCCCCCCCGCCAGTACTCACCTGGGGCTGGGGCCAGGAAAGCAGCCAAGAGCCACGTCATCATCGTGCCTCGGACCGAAGCAAACCAGCCGGAGATGCGGACACCGGGGAGAGTCTCTGAAACCCTCCGCAGCGTCTGCTGGAACCTGAGACCCAGAGCGGGGCCAGCGGGCGGGAAAGACTGCACCACCCGGGTGTCGAATCCTGTCTCACTGGCACCGGGAGCGAGGCGTTCACACAGCTACAATGCAGCTCGCTCACTCTCCCACGGTCATTAATTTAACACACACACGCAGCTCTGCACTGGCACTTTATCTCTCTCACAGAGACCAGCTCGCTCTTTAGCAACCACATGTCTTAACATGCCTGCGACTGTCACTGTCCCTTAAGGGCCTAGCGGCGGGAAGGATTAACCCTTAACTGCGGGGACACAGCGGATGCAGCTTCGCTCTCCTCCGGGCTGAGGGACAAGGCGGGTGTGAAACAGGAAATGCAGCTGCCTCCCTGCTCATATCCTGTACGTTAACAGGGGATTGTCAGTTCTGACTGGCGTCCGGGTGTCCAGACATTCGACAGGTCCCCTATTGGGGGAACTACGGGGAACATACGCTCCCCTGCAGGAGACAACTGAAGACCAGTCCCGTTATTCAAGACCAGGGGCTCTCTCAGAAATTAGACCCCTCCCCTTTCTTTACCAATGGAATAAATGAAAGAATGAGTAAATACAATTATTTTGCTCCCTCCTTCCCCACCAGAGATAACTAAGCTCCAGGCCTGAGTGACCGACACCTCAGAAGGAAAGTAACATCATCCCTTTAATAGTCACCATCACAACATGATCGTACCGCTTTTACCAACAGGTGGGTGGCGGGGAGAGAAGTGTTCGCTCTCTTTCCATAGGAGGCAAATAATTCACCGGTCTGAGTCATCAACTAGGCTGTCAGAGTTCCTGGCTACTTGGAGGGATAATGAGAATTTGCAGGACGGAGTTGGATGGTAATTGCAGACATACCGAGGGTTGCAGTGTCTGTCTCTGGGAACTCCAGGGTCAGGGACATGTGATGCTTGGTGTGGAACAGGAAACGCAGCTAAGCAGTCTACGTATCCTGTAATCTGATAGCCGAGTGTCAATTCCAACTGACAAGAAGGGAGGGGGGAGGGTATTCCAACACCCCCTTTGCAATAGCAGCGTGTCCCCAAATGTTGTGTCTCTTTCTTGTTCTGCCCATGTTGAGTATGGATGATATCCCCACACTATGGAACCAGAGACATATAGCTGAGGGACGAGGACTTGTCTAGAAACCCGGGGCCTCCTCTGTTACCCCTGAGTGGCCGGGTTTCAATGCTTTGTACTAGAGAATGACAAGGTCACTGTTCCTGCCTTTGCCATTACAAGGTGCTCTCGTGAGCGAAGGACCAGGCACCCAGGGCTGTGAACCTTGAGATCTCCTAGCAGGGAAAGGGGGCGGGGGTGGTCCCTAAAGCATCTTTCCCTAATAATGTATCTCCGGCCCAGTGCTGAACCTTCTGTTCCACAACGAGGGCCAATAAAGGGGGCAGTGTCGGATATTCCAGCAGCCAGTGTAGGTCCCACGCTGATTGAGGGGCACCAAAGAGAAGCAGTGCTTCCCTCTAGTGGTAGGTATTAGGATAGAAGATACAGAGTAAAAACTACTTTAAAAGAACATTAAGGTGGCTAAGGCCTGATCTACACTACGAGTTTAGGTGAAATTTAGCAGCATTAAATCAAATTAAGCCTGGATTCGTCCACACGACGAAGCCCTTTTTTTCGACTTAAAGGGCCCTTTAAACCGGTTTCTTTACTCCACCTCCGATGAGGGGATTAGCACTAAAATCAGCCTTTGCGGGTCGGATTTCGGGTAGTGTGGACGGAATTCGAAGTTTTTGCCTCCAGGAGCTATCCTACAGTGCTTCTTTGTGACCACTCTGGACAGCACTCTCAACTCAGCTGCACTGACCAGATAGACAGGAAAACCCCCATGAACTTTTGAATTTCATTTCCTGTTTGCCCAGTGTGCAGAGCACAGGTGACCACGCAGAGCTCATCAGCACAGGTAACCCTGATGGAGTCCCAGGATTGCAAAAGAGCTCCAGCATGGACAGAACGGGAGGTACGGGATCTGCTCGCCATATGGGGAGATGAATCAGTGCTAGCTGAACTCCGTAGCAGTAAACGAAATGGCAAAACATTAGAAAAAGTCTCAAAGGCCATGAAGGACAGAGGCCATAAAAGGGACGCACAGCAGTGCCGTGTGAAAATTAAGGAGCTAAGGCAAGCCTACCACAAAGCCAGAGAGGCAAATGGAAGGTCCAGGGCAGAGCCGCAAACATGCCGCTTCTACGTGGAGCTGCATGCCATTCTAGGGGGTGCAGCCACCACTACCCCAACCGTGTGCTTTGACTCCATCAGTGGAGAATCACGCAACAGGGAAGTGAGTTCGGGATACGAGGAAGATGATGATGAGGACAATGAAGATAGCTCACAGCAAGGAAGCAGAGAAACCGGTTTCCCCAACAGCCAGGATATGTTTATCACCCTGGACCTGGAACCAGTAACCCCCGAACTCAGCCAAGGTGTGCTCCCAGACCCTGAGGGCACACCGGGGACCTCTGGTGAGAGTACCTTTGTAAATATTACACATGGTTTAAAAGCAAGCGTGTTTAATGATTAATG